GTTAGACTTCAATCATTAATAATTATATCACCATATTGAATATCACACCATTCATCAGCCTTAATTGCAAGTTTTTTTAAAGTAAAATCAATTTAAATTCTACCGCTCAACTGTTTATTGTATAGAGCCACAATGCTTCTAAGTCAGTCACCTTTCGTGAATGTTGCTGTAGTTGTAAGTGACAATAAATTTGTATTTGTTTGGAATTTTTAAAAAAGTAATTGAAGATTTTTTATGACTTTTTTAAACGAATAAAATTTGTTTCAAATAATTTTTAGTGTGATAATATTAGAAAACAAATTACAAATGTTCTATTTGGACAATATAAATAACTAATAATAGTAATAATAAAAGTAAACAAGCTACTTCTAATAATTGTTGCCTACTGGCAGTTGAAATCATTCAAGCAATTTAAACCTCAGTCAGTTGATAAACAATGAAAGACGTTCGTGCAATTGAGACGACGACGAAAATGAAGATGGCGACGATGGCGTTGACGTCGAAGATGATGATGAGGATGAAAACGATGATGATAAATGACAATGAAGGTGATGAAGATGATGACGAGGAAGATGAAAATGATGACGACAACAGTTGCCTCACATTGTTGCATTGCGTTGTTACATGCAAGAAGGTGCGTGGGCATGACGATAGCAGGAGTCAGGTAGGTAACAAACAAGCCCATTGTGATAATTTGGTAGCGAGTGTGTAGCGTGTTATAGCATCGTGCGATGTGCAGCACTGTGTTGTCGCTGTTGTTGTTGTTGCTCTATGTATTGTGTATGCATGTATGCATGCAAACGATCAACTCTTGTTTGGCCATTAAGTTGTGAGTTTGCATTAATTAATTCTTTATGTTTGCTCAAGACGGGTTCCTCCTTTTCTCCTTTTTCTCTCTTTTTTTTTCCTTTTTCTTCTCTCTTCTCTCTCTCTCTTTCTCTCTCTCTCTGCTTCTCTATGTTCTTTCTCATATTCCTTTGTTTTTTGTATTCGGGTTTGTTCACGTGTGTTTTCACGTACACATGTATGTACAAACATACAGTCACAGGTGTTCATTCATTCATTCATTCGTTCATTCATTCATATTATTATATAAGTATGAATACTTCTGTATTTTAAATCATATTTCGAAAGTTTTTTGTAACAAAAAACAACAAAATATGAAACATAAAAATTACACACTCAATCAATGGTTGTTTAACACCTTTAAATTACAAAATTTCAGACGTACATGAACGATTCTAGACCAACACTTGATTTTAAAATTCACATAAAAAAAATTTCAAAATTAATTTTATTTCACTATAGTATGCATGTGTGTAGCATTAAGTTGTCGTACATGTTGTTGTATGTTTTGTTGTACATCTATCTGAGCACGTATATTTGCATGTTTGTTTTCGTGTACGTGTGCACGCTCTCCTCGAGATTAGGACTAAGTTTGTTTGTTTAAATGACTTTCCGAGCTGACGTTGAGGTGGAAGAAAGTATGGAAGCATGTTGAGGAATACATCACCGCGGTTAATAACGTGTGCCTATATATATGCACGAATTGCAAGTGAATGTGTGTACATGAATAGGGTAAGTGTGCTTGTGTAGGCATGAGTTATGTGTGTGTCTGTGTGTGTGTGCGTGTGTGTGCATGTATGTGTGTACAAATAAAAAGTTTGTTCATATGTGCGTGTATGTGTGTAATAATTTCGTGCTTTTTTTACGTGCATCGTGCATCGCCAACAAAACACAAACATGTTTCAAAAGCACATGTATCCAAGTGCAACACACGCATATGCAACCTTTTGTTACATTTTTTATCAATTCATTTTGCATGAATTAATATAACATGCAAAAATTTACAATCATTTCAAGAAAGAGAGAGAGAGAGAGAGAAAGAGAGAGTTGCAGTTGCATAAATTTTAAAAAATCAAACCGCATAATTCAGTGTCTTTTCATGCACGTGTGAAATGTATGTAGAAGCTTAATAGAGACATGATTAATCAATATAGTATTATTTTATAAATTTAATAACCTTGCAACAACACGCAAAACAAAACTGCTTCTACAAAACATACACGCAACAACACACGCAACAACACGCACACCACACAACGACAAATGTGCAAACGCATGCGGTGAACGCACCTTACCCATCTACACACGCCATCAGAATGTTTGTCGTACGATCTCCGTATATTTGCAGAATTTTTTGTAGAAATGTTTGTAGGAGGAATTGTGGAGAGTTGAAATGATGGGAGTCGATATAGCGATCAAACAAGGACGAGAAATTTTGTTTTGGTACTGTTGAACGTGTCTTCGAATAATTTGCTGTTTGTTCTGCTTTGTTTGCACTTGAAAAAAATTCTTCCACAAATTTAATTTTTCTTCACGTATTATTTCTTTGCATATTCATTGACATTTTAAGCTCTGATAAATGTTTTTTGGATAAAAATAGGATAAAAAAAATATGTTGTCCACTCTTTTGACAATGGGAATTTAAAAGATTCTCCAAGGAAATATATTTTTGAAATACTTTTTTATTTGATTTTGAAATTTTAAATCGAGCTGCATCAAATTAAGAAACATTTTCAAAATAATTATCTACCTAGAAATGTTGAATTTATTTTATTCTTTAATCAAACTGGTTGTTGTTAAAGTCCTCCACACAAATTAATTATTCAATCTGTTTGGCGATAATCACCAAATTAAATATATTCAACTATAATGACTGTTGCAAAGCTAGCAAAACCACGATTTTAAAAACGAAAATGTGCATTAATTAAAAAAATGAATAATGACTTCATTGCATAAATAAAATATATTATTCAACCAATGAATAAAACGTTCTATTGAGTTGAACCTACCATGGCATATCTGTATCAAATTCGTGCTAAGTTTAACAAATTCACTTATGAATTCTATTTATTGCTCGTTAGCAATTCAAATAAGATGCAGTTTATTAACTACATAAACCTCGCGTGCACTAAGTATTTTTGAAATGTGTATTATACTCCCTAATCTCAATACTATCATTTCTATTTAATTCACGTTTCAGCGTCCATTTACCAATCTGCGCCTCCACTCCACAACATAAACTGTCTCCATTCCACCTCATAGTTTCAATCCATAATCACTCTATATATTTTTAAAAAAGTCCACGAGTTGGGTTTAATTGTTCTGCAAATGTTGAAAATCATATAAAGCTAAAGAAAATTTAAAAAACAACCAATGTAATATCTGTAACTTACTTGTGTGGTAGTTCTTCATGGTAAGGAACTACACGAAGATTATTACGGTTGACGGTGATGATGGTGACGATGACGACGACGGTGATGATGAGGATGATGATGAAATAGGTTGTGGAAGTCGTCATCATCAAAATGGAATGATGTCAGGGTCTTTCAGTTTTTTGTTACTGATGTAGTTTTTGAGGTTTATTTGTTGTCAATTTTGAAATGTTGACTGGTGACTGCAGTTTGTTTTTTGTTTTTTTGTTTTTTTTTTCATTAATTCGGATCGTTCACGACAGCTTTGATGTGAAATTTTTTGAAATTAAAAATGGAACAAACTGAAATCATGTGAAACAAGAATTGGCAGCCAACAAAATTCTATACAATTCAAAAACTAATAAAAGTAACGTCGTAGAAGTTATCAAGACAACAGAAAATATAATTAGAAATGATTGTTCTCTCGCTATTCAACACATTGCTACCTTTCAAGGGGGATTAAAATTGTATTTTTTGCTTCATTGTGCGAAGTGTTTATACAATACCTCCATGCGTGTTCGTATCCGTTCATAGGTTTGATGATATTCTAAGAAAAATTTTGGAGTTAGCGGTTGAGAAATACGCTGCTACAAACCTTGTAGAACGACTCGCGGTTGGACATGTCGACGAAAGGCATGCTGCCAAATACGTTGGATTTGCGCGCTAAGTAGGAAGACACTTCTGGAAATTGGTGGCGGTTGACGTTGTTGTACGATTGATGGCAAGATGAATTACTGTTCAGAAAAGTTTCATTGTTGCTGTTGTTGTTGCTGTTGTTGATGTTGTTGCCGTTACTGGTCTGATGGTTGTTATTGGTTTTGTTATTTAATGCATTGTTACTGCTATCGTCGTTTTTGTCATTATTATTATTTACGTTTTTGTCGTTGTTAATGTTTTTGTTGTTGTTAATGTCATTGATGCTGTTTATTTTGTGATGTAATACTGAATTGTGATTATTGTTGTTGTGATTGTTATTGTTATTACTGTTGTTATTGTTGTTGTTGTCATTGTTCATTTGTTCAAGGTTATTGTCGTTGTCGTTGTAAGCGTTAGAGCTGTGAAAAAATTGTTCACTGTTGTTCAAATCGTTGTTGTAAGAGTTACGTAGAGGGGATGTTGAATTGTTTATATGGTAGCCGTCGTTTTTGTGCTTGTTGGAAAGGTTGTAGGTGTTGCAGTTGTCACTCATTATCGGCGTCGTTGGTCGTGTTTCCCTACTGCACGTTGCATTGCCTAACAAGTTTGGTGCCTGTTGTAGGCGGCTGTTGTACAAATTGTTGTGCTGTTGAGCCCGCAGCAGCAGCGTGCTGTGGTAGTTATTTCTTTCAATTTGGTCGTCGATATCGTCCGAATTGTTTGGACGCAAGTAGTTATGATGTATGTTTAAGTGTGGATGTTGCAACTGAGATTGAACTAAATGTTGCTGGGTGTGGTGGTGGTGGATAGGATGATGTTGTTGCTGCTGCATTTGTAAATGTTCTTCCAAGTTGTTACTGTTGTTGTTGCTTTGAGAATGTTCTCTACTTGGGTTGAGGCCATCATAGCTGTCGTCATCCATGTCCTCCATGTCTTCATTGTCTGAACCTGTGATGTTCGCCAAAAGTTGATGAATCATGTTTTGAAATTTTTTATTTTGAATAAAATATAGAAAAACATTTTCATTAAATTATTAAATTATCATTCAAAAGCAAATGCGAATGAAGTTGTTTACCGACCAACACAACCATTGACACCCATCTGCAAGGGTGTCATTCTTTTTTCCTTCTGCCTCCTGTTACAAAACCACACCCTTACAACTTCTTTCTCAAGTTGCAACTGCTCAGCCAACGCTGCTATTTCTTGAGCGGCTGGTTTTTGTTGTTTTACAAAATGTGACTCTAAAGCACCTTTCACTGTTATTTCAATACTCGTTCTCTTTTTACGTTTCCTTCCTTGGGCGGCAATTTTGTCGATGCTGGTTGGACTGCCGGTGGTCGAGTCGGCCTCTTCTAGCCACTTTTGCAGCAAAGGTTTTAATTTGCACATGTTTTTAAAACTGAGTTGTAGAGCTTCGAAACGGCAAATGGTTGTTTGCGAGAAAACGTTGCCGTACAGCGTGCCAAGAGCCAAACCAACATCGGCTTGAGTGAATCCCAACTTTATTCTTCTTTGTTTGAACTGGCGAGCGAATTGTTCCAAATCGTCGGATGTTGGGGAATCGTCGTCAGACTGAGCGTCTGGCATTAGACCTGACCCAGACATGAGACCGCTAAGTTCTCGCGAGGACAAGGGACTTCCAAATGAATGTTGAATGCCAAGCGCGTCGGACAATGAATCGTTACCAGTTCGCGCTGCCAGTGAAGATCGCCAGTTTTCAGAATAAGTTTGATAAGCTGCAGCCGCCGTTGGAAACGTTGAATATGGAGTACAATGGTTGACGAGGAAGCGATTAGGATGATGATGGTGATTTCCTGAATGATGAGATTCTGTAGAGCTTGATGTTTGCCATGCTTGAAATGGATTGTTGGTTGATTTGAACTGGCTGAGAGCTGATTGAGACATCGTTTGGTATGCAAATCGATAATCTGGACTTGTGCTTCCGGACTGCTGATTTGATTGGTCATTTTGGTTCTGCTGAGTTAATAAAAACGGCTTGAAATCTTCACCATTACCAAACCATCCAACGTTTTTGGCCATTGTGTAGTGATGATGAGATGCGTATGGTCCAAATCCAAACCACTGACCGTAATGACCAAGCGTTGGAATCGTGTTGTTTTGAGTGAATGGTTCAGAATTGTTGTTGTTGCTGTTGAGAAACAAGTTATCTTGCGCTGTTACTGGAGTGGATGAATTGAAAAAATTTGTTTGAAAATTGCCGGAAGTGCTGTCCTGTCCGCTGTTCCTATATGAAGAATAATTTAGGAATGAATTCATGGAATATTCAGATCTCTGAACATCGTTTGATTCCAAATTAGAAGGTTGTTGGTGGTGTTGTTGCGATTGTTGCATTGATAAGGAATGTTGCAGAGGTGGTGGAGTGGGAGTTGTGAAACTTTCATTTTTGTCTTCATCATTGTTGTACGAAGAAACTGCGTAACTGTTGTTTTTGTTTGCCGTTGTTGTTGAATTAACTTCTTTATCACAATCTGCAGAATTTTTTGCAACACTGCCATCCTCACCATAGATTGACAAGCAGGACTGCGTCGTTCGGTTGCAAGATTGGGCGTTGCTGAGTTGGTTAATTTTCTGTTGTAGTTGGCAGTGGTTGTATTGTTTTGAAACGTTTTGTTTGTACGCTGAACTGTTGAAAATGGCGGATGAAAAAATTGAAGGGGTGAATGTTGTTGACGTGGCTGATGTGATGACAGAGACCGGTTCATTCATCGCTTGGTGGCTTGGTGGCAACTAACTTTGTAATTAACAACTGTGAAAGCATAAAAACGTATCCAAAATGTTATGAATTAGCGAGATTGTTCAGTATATGTTGTCATTATACTAAGATTAATCAAAATATTTACTGTGTAGGATATATAGTACATTAGTCAAGAACAAACTAAAAATTAAAATTTGGGTAATAAAAATAAGTTGCACAAAAATCACAGCATTTTTTATCCATTTAGCAAGAGATAACTGGTAAGAAAAATAAGAATAAATGTTCTGAATTTTTTATTAGTTTATTTCACACTATCGCTCTTTTCCCAGCAGAAAATTGTACCAACAATCGAAGTTGAACGTCAAATCTGACTTGCAAATATCCCATACAGACAAACATCCCATCCCATGCATATCTCGACATCAGAAGCACACGCGTAAGCATGCATCCGTACGTACGTACGTGCGTGCGTGCGTTTGTTGCTGCAATAGAGAACGCTCTAGATATATATATGCATGTAATGTCCCTACTATAATAATATTATACACATATATAATATGTACTTATATGTAATATTTGTATTGTATATGCACCTTTGTGCTTATATATTGTGTATGTATCTCTATACATGTGTGATATTTATATAACAAATATTCACATCTATGAAGCGCCAATAAAATTTACAAAGTTATGAATTTATACGCTAACATTTGCAAGCCAATCGTGTGTGTACTTGACATTTTGGTTATTTTCAGTTTGAATGGGAGAGTGAACCGCGCCATAGAGTATTCCTCGTGAAATATTTTTATTTAAATTTTAATGAATAATGATCTCAACGATTAAACTCTTCAAATAATAGAATAAACAATCGTATACATGAAGTGCTCATATGCAAATGTTGGTTATTCATGAAATGCATCCCCAATATAGCACACACACACACACACACACACACACACACACACACACACACACATGCACGCACACCCCATAACCTCTTCCAAACAATCACACAGCCGCGCAATATACAAACTAAACCAGGTTTATCCATTTTTTAGATTAATATTACTTGTTTGCTTGTCTAAAATAATTAATAATTTATATATTGATTAGGAGTTAATTTATTTGAATGTAACGCATTAGCTGCCATTTTTTGTAATACTAATACTAAAATGTTATATCATTAAGTCGTCAATAAGAAAATGTTTGGCAACCAAAATCTCTATTCTTACTTGCTACACTTGAAACAGCTTATAAACAAGTTAACAATGTTGTTTTTTAGACTGGAGTATATTTGCAGTTAGATTCATTCAACAATAAAATATTTATTAGCCGAAATCTTTTTGTGTGTCTGTGTTTGTGTGTAAACGAATGTGCATGTAAAAGTGGGGATGTGCTAATTTGTATATATGTACGTATGTATGTGTGTATGTGTGTGTATTGTGTGTGTGTGAGTGTGTGTTGTGTATGAGTGTGTGTGTGTGTGTGTGTTGTGTATGAGTGTGTGTGTGTGTGGTGTGGTGTGTGGTGTGGTGTGTGTGTGTGCTTTCGAGAAGGTTTTAAAATATACGAAGTTGGTATTTTCAAGTCTATAGATGAAACTGCACTCGATACTTCTGGCTTGTTTCTTTCTAAGCCAAACTTTCTGTTCAGCGTTTTTGAGTAAATTTATGAAAAATGAAAAAAAATTGTTCTGTTGTTTTCGATTCATTTGTCGAATGGTGGGGGAACGTTCACTCACTCACTCACTCACTCACTCACTCACTCACTCACTCACTCACTCACTCACTCACTCACTCACTCACTCACCCACAGGTGCTTGGGTTCGATTTCTATGAAGTATTCATCAGGTGCATCATAATCGTCGTCGTCGTCATCACCGTCATTATGCTGATGATGATGATGATGATGACGATGATGATGACGACAACGACGATGATGATGATGACGGTGAGGAGGAGGAGGAGGATGACGATGATGAAGATGATGATAATGATGAGGATTTATTGATCGTCGACAATGAAACCTAATTTTTAAATTTTTTTATTTCTAGAAATTAACATTTAAAACATTTCAGCAATTACAACGAAAGAAAGATCCTAGCTAGCATGAGATTTTAAATTCCTTAATTTCGACAACAAACGAATGAACGCTACAAAAACCAAGAAGATCACATACACTGCTAAAGAATTTTTATTTTAAAATATTTTCACAAATTCAAACAAATATAAATATTAATAAACACCCACAAACCGTGCAACAGCAATTATTGCATAGTGCAACATACCAAAACAACAACACAAAATACAACACAACGCAACGAAACAACAACACAAACACATCATAACAACACAATGTTAATGTCATCTCAAATCAAAACATTTTCAAGCATACCTACACTAAATTTTGTGGAACCATCTGAAACTCAACATTCAAATTGAGGATTTTTTTATTTTACAATGCTCTCTATACTAGTATATATTTATTATCTACAAAATTGTTTGTATATGTTTTACGTATTTATTTATTCATATACGTATATACAAATGTATACAATTGAAACCCATCTCACACGACATGTTTATACTGTATTGTATAACTATAATGTACATATTGTATGTTCATAATTGGTAAAACAGCAAACATACATTTTTGTTAACACCAACTCCAGGATTCATTCAAATTGCTCTGTCAACAAGTGCACATCCAGACTAACTTAGAAAAAGCCCAGGGAAACATTTATATGATGCATATTCAAATCACATACATGCATATAATAAATATATACATGTATATACACGGGAGTGCATGCATGCATACAGAAGCGTATATGCAGATACCCAAACGTACATACAATTGTTTCCAGATGAATGCACATCACACACACACACACACAAACACACACATATTTATAAATACAGTAACAGATAATACGCCAAAGATATAAAAAAAGTGGCATATACAAAAATGAAAGAGGAACGAAAGAATGAAGGAAAGAAAGAATGAAGTATCTGCAGTAGCTGCAGTAGCTGCAGCAGCTGCAGTATCGGCAGCAAGAGTAACAGGAGAAGCAACTGTAAATATTTTTTTATATCAAAATTTTGCATTAGCGCAGGAAATGCTCTTTTTCTTGCACACCATACGTCATCTATTTGATCATCTAGTCACGTGTTTTGCATGAACGACGTTCATTGGTCGGCGACAACGTGTGACTGACAGGCATTCTCTGCAATGATTTGTAAAAAGTAGGCGTGGCTCCGTAATATTTCCTTGCTGTTTGTTGTTCCGTGTGCGAATGATGAATGTGCAATTAAATTAATTAATGGGGAAATTAATTGTATAATTTGTTACATTACGTTGCATTAAATTGATCGTCTGTGTGTGTATGTGTGTGTGTCGAACCAACGTTTATGTGTATGTCTGTATGAGCGTATGTGTGTCTGTGTGTGTATGTGTCTGCCTGTCTGTGTGCGTGTTTACAGGTCTTCCATGGGAATGAATAAATAATTCAGAGTGGTCGTTACACATTACAATTTTATTTTAATATACCCCTTATATCAATTTTTGTAATGTTTAAAAAGTAGAAACGTCCCAGCGTGATGATAGTGTGCAACATTGGAAAGTCACTTCAACGGTCGTCTCAACCCGCGACCAGCTTCGTGGAGTCACCGTCAGCTGCATCTGGATGCATTTCAGTATTAGTACATAAGTATGTACATACAATATATAATATGTATGTGGGTATACATATTAAGTTCACGCACACACAAACACACACACAAACACACACATAAACACACATATGTATACATAAATATACGCTTGTAACGTTGTTTTTGTACATCTTCATGCATCT